TATATATACAGACATTCTTTTTTTCTGAAGAATGTCTTGAAGAAACAAGGAAAGTGCTATAGTAGTGGCAGATGCATGGAAAGCCATCTGACTTTTCAGATTTGCACCACCACTATGGCAGGTCTTTGAGCACTGTAGATTTCAAATGAAGTGTCACATGACATTTTATATCTCTCTGTTGGTAGAGTTCCCATGTCAGGTCAGAAGTCTTTGCTCTTTTTTACCACCATCCTTAGAAATTGGAAGTAGAAAGAGAGGAAATAGGAGGTAGACTGCCTCCAGTTTCCTAACATAGGAAGAGCTATTGAAAATCTGACTGCAAAGAATTACTTAGAAATGAAAGTAATGAAAATTGAGTGGTCTTTCTGTTTTTTGTACTGGTACAATTATCCCAAAGTGCATTACCATTTCAATCGCTGATTTCTTCAAACATACCGGGACTTGTGAGAATATGCATTAAATGCCATAGGAACGATAACATTTAATAAACGAGGCTAACAAGGAAATGGATTAATTTTCTCTTCATGGTTTTACATGAGTCTTTTTGGCCCTAGAGCCCCCTTTAAGGGTACAGTAGAAGGTGGCTTTTACTTATCATTTTATGCAGGTGTTAGGTACAGGCTTTACATGGCTTTCATTAACGGAATGTGTGGGGTGATCATTCACAGAAAGTGGAAGTGTTCAGGCATGTAATACCTCTCCTTGTGTCTTTGGAAACTGAGATTAACAGCTTTACTAAATTGGGCCATGGAATGTATCTCTGGAAAAAAAAAATCAGATTTTGTCACAAGTGTCATTTAAATGCTAATTTTCTTTAATTATCAACTATATATGTGATTTACTGATATACCAGTAGTCTCATCAGGGGGGAATTATCTGGGTGCAGCATGGAAAGGGTTTCAATGTTCAACCTTTAAAATATATAATCTTCCAGGAAGGCATTTATTGAATTTATGATATATAGCGAGAATTAAATAAAGGCTTTTGATGTAAAATGTGTTTCAGGTGCTTATACCAACTCTGTCTTTTATCCATGTTACATTGACCGTGTTTACCTTGAAACTGAAATATGTATGGTGAGGCACAGCCTTTCAGGATTGTGGACAGAGTCTATGTACCATGTAGGTTTTTCACATACACATGGGGAGTGGCTCCAGGGTTTATGGCCGCTGAGGAGAAAATAAATATTTTGTTTTCTCGGAATCCTTAGTGCTGTTCTGGGCCCTGGAGCTTTGTAGAGCTTTGGGTGGGACAAAGCCTCTATTCCTAGGTCCACATCTTACCTGTAGGCAGACCTCGTTATTAGTCCCAGCTGTCCACAAGCCTTTAAATATGTGAGCTGACTGCAGTTCAGGACTCTCTCTCACTCTCTCTGATCTGAGAGCCTGCTTCTATGTGAACACTAAAAATGAACAAGTGTTGCCTGTTGATTTTGGTGAACCCATTAGGGGGAATCCCCGGTTAGTCAGGAACTGACCTGAATTTAGTTGGTGGCTCAGACTAGCAGACTTGATGTACAAAGCCTTCGTGCAATGAAACTGTGTGTATTTGCTGCCTTGCTGAATAAGAGTGCAGGGCAAACCTGCTTGGACTGTTCCCAGGTGTCCCTGTTTAACCCCTTCATGACTGAGCTTGTTTTTGGTTTCTGTTCGTAAATGACTGACACACTTTTGACATTTTTGCTGTGTGATTCTTCCACGTCAGTAATATACTTTTTTACAAAGTGCACCCACACATATTATATATTGTTTTTTAGAGGACAGATAGGGCTATATATTTATATCACATATGTGTGTCTAACGCCTCACGTAGGACAAATAAAATATAAAAAAAGAGGAAAAAACTTTAAAAAAACACTTTTTTCCCAGTTTTGATTTGTAGTATTTTTTTAACAAAACCAGCACAGCTAAAAAAAAATACAATACATACATTCATGTATTTGTCCCTTATTTTTAATTTTTTTACACTTTTATTTATTTTTATTTTTTTACACTTTTCACTTTTTTTTAAACTTACAAATTTTATTTTATTTATTTAATTATATCAAGCAGTCATTGTGAATTAATCTCACTATTACTGCTTGATAAATTAATACATTTTTGGTTATTATCAGGCTGCTTCAAACTTCAGAACAGCCGACAATAAGTTAGTGACACTGATCCTGCAGCAGTTCAGGATTCAGCTGTCACTGAATGTTTCAGAAAACTGAAACATTCTACTTTCAAGAATAGATACATTATGTGTCTATTACATTACATTATGTATCTATTCTTGAAAGTCAAAAGATAAAAAAAAAAAGCCAGTATAGCTTGAGAGAGATATCTCTCTCGATCTATACGAGCTGTCAGAATGCCAGCAAAAGCCGGCATGTGTGTCCGCTCTGCTGTGACTCTCAGACACCTGATATTAAGGTATCGGGTGTCTGAAAAAGGTTAACCCTTTCAGTAATGGATCTCTAGATAGTTAGACATCCATTACTGAATGGTAACCGCTGATTCTCAGCGGTTAGCAGCCTTCTAGTGCAGCACTGTACGTGACGAGTCATTTGGTCCCTTTGTGGCTGGACGTACAGTGTACGTCTCCCGTCACGAAGGGGTTAATGCCAAATTTACTGCTGCCAATACCAGTTGACCCTGTCCCCCTTACAGTACTTATATAGAAAGTGAAGTTTACAGTATCTAAATTCCTTTTTTTCTTTACATAATGATCTGTACATTGATCATTGCCGTATTGCCTGTTAACTAAAAGCAAATTTTTATTGAATGAAATAGAAATATATATTACAATATTGAGTAGATATTCATTGCTATGTAGCACTAAAGTATATTGTATATATTGTGTAGTAAAAATTCCATGACCATCAAACTAGAACAAACCAGGTAACTTAATAGTCAAGACTAATGATCTATGAGATTATTCAGAACAAAATAAAGATGAACTAAGAGACATATATATCAAGGAATAAGCCAATAATGAACCAATGTTGGTATGCTTAAGGACTTATTGTAAGGATTTAAATGGTATCAAAGATAGAGTGCACATGAACATATAGTACCAGTAGAAACAGAAAGAAGAGAGAAGAGAAGGAAATGTCAAATATAAAAGAAAGGATAGGAAGAGAAAGAAAAAGAAGAGACAAAGAAAAATCAAAGGGCATCCAAACTACGCAAGGTGCCAGTTAATTGTCAGGGTATTTTATTGAAGACTTTTTCTGCTCTATTCTGCCTTAAAGAAAACATATAGGCTGACATTACTGACCTCTGCTTCTTAAAATGCCACTTGTTTGGCTATCATGCTTAT